GCTTGTATAATTGTGTATCTGTTATCATTCAGATTATAATTCAATATATATTTTTTCATCAATAATAATTCATTATGTTCAGGATATATGCATGGATATCTTTCTTGTCGAGGTAAACTCTTCTTCATGTTCTTCAAACAATTATTTCTATATAAAATTTTAGATTCAAGTTTGTAAAACTTAATGGATCACTTATCAATATAACATCATTGTGAAAGACAAATTGTTCAAACTTGTCTTGCGAAAAACATCCCTATGGTAATTCGTTAACCGATCACTTTTCGAATCGATAATCTATTGTGCATGCTGTATACATTCTTACTAAAAATTTTCTAAAATGAAATACATGATAACGAGCAAATTTCAAGCAGTTTACGTTGTCAACGTACATCAGAATTGAGTCACATCATACCCTCTTCATGTAAAAAATGTAGGAGCTCCATCCATGCTAAAGTTGTAGCTCCTATATATCTCATCTGAGTAGATAAGAAATCTATTATACGCTCCTTCAAGCGTGATATAGCGTACAGTCAACATAAGAAATCCAAACACGAGACGCCACGTAGACTTTATTAGCATGAAAACAGTTTTAATATGGAATAAGCAGTAAGGGTGAAAATCAGTAATTTTATCCAACTACGATATAAACATGATATATATGAGCGAAATTAACATGGACTTTGGCTTTTACAGTAACACAAGCCGTGACATTCAAATGCGTTTAAAAAATATTCCGTAAATTATCAAGAAGAATCTCATAACCGTGGAGAGAACATCATTTCAAATTTTTATTTTGTTGGGATCCCTTGTGATATTCAATGAGATGGGTTTCTCTCCTATGAACTACTTTGTCCCTACATTCTTAAAGCACATTTGGTATTTATATAATTCTAGTTGATTTTTTGTTAATGCAAGTGAAAATATTGTCTTAAATAAATAAATAAATAAATTTTAAGATATTTTGGTAATCTTGATAAGCGTCTCATATATACTGGTAAGCTCAAGATTTTGGTGAAACACCGCAAATTCACCAAGTTCAAAAATTGAACTGATCTGGCTACTTTTCTTCATGGGGAGCCATCCGCTTTAGATCATAAGTCATCTTGTGAATATGACTATGACTCAAAGGTTACAAGTTAGAATTGTAAATTTCGTTATTCTTAGTTTCAGAGTACCCTTTAAAATAAATGATACGGACCGTAAGTTGGACCTCTCGGAGCGTTGCCAGGTTAGATCGATGAATGTTTTTACAGCATGCAAAATGATCCTGCCATGAAAACGTGTCGCTCGTCCACGAAATAAAGCCTCAAAGTGTCGTGTCTCATGGCTTGGGACTAAACTTGCCTACTAGACTTCGAATGCCTGAAGAACTGAACCTTTCATTTCATCTCGAAGTATGGGCTCGGAGGCCTTAACTGAACCATCTGAAACTGTAAAAATCCTTCTTGTAAACAGTAGCTCTCCCAAGGAAGAGATGAGAGCGAATTTTCTCCCACCAAACCAGTACTTTACACCAAGAATCCTAGCGAGCCTATCAGTTTTAAGTCACTTCTATTCGTCTCGTCATCTTATAAGTGAGGTGCTAACCTTGGGAGAGCAACTTGCATCCAACCCACTATGCGTAGCGAATATTCAGATGAACTGGAACTCTGCAGACATGTGAGAGGAAGATTTGTAGAACATGTAAGATAGAAGCCTGTTATTTATTACCAATGCACACTTTTCACAACAGTTCCCGGTTGTAAAGAGACCATTGTTTTGACAAGTAAGGGTTACTTTATGTGTAAGAGATAGACTTGGATTTGGAGATGTGAACGTGAGAAACCAAGTTATATTCCAAAGGGGACGGAAAGACACCGTCACGTCTTCCAAGGATGAAATCAAAGGGATAGGATGGGGCTAGGTTCCAATCGCATCACAATTATAAAAATATGTCAACTCAACATTCTCACCCATTTACTCAACTGTTTGTGAGGGCCAGGTAAGAAATTTATTTGACTGACTCGAATTCTAAAGTGCAAATACACGTTACCGCGCAGAAGACACCCACATTTGCTTTACTGTTTGTCATTATACTGCATGCTATCCAAATAGAGTATTCGACGTCCTCATACGAAGCCTAGGAAGAATAATCCAGTAATTCTGAAAGCAATATCCATTTGGATATCATTGTTTAGCAGCTTTCAGTCGTGTGAATCGGACCATGGAGCTCTATTCTTTCTACTTTCGTTACCTCTGGTTTGGTGAAACTTGACGGCCGATTTTGATCGTGTGAATCTGTCTCTTCATTGGAGCAAGCCGGATAATTGCAGTTTACATTCAAATCATCGCGCATTGATGGCATGCCCTGAAGCTGAGACTTTCAACGTCTTCTATTTGAGTTTTCAATCATGACGCATTTTTCGTATGGCTTTGGGATCATGTATACAATAAAAGTGGGAGGATTAATCGTTTGTTCCAGTGCTCTTCCTCAACATTTCTTGATATGGTATGTAAATTTTTTTAATGGAATATAATATTCAACATTCACATATTCACAATCTTGGTTTCTTATTTTTTCTTCCAAAATTGATTTACCACAAGCCCCAGGATTTATCCAAGCATTACTTCTACAGCGAAATTAAACTATTCAAGCACAAGAATGACAAGTTACTAAGTGATAGTATATAAGATGATAGTTTAAAACAGACCACGTTGAAGGTAAACGTAAAAGAAGCCATGTAAGTTTCTTTATCATCATAAAGTTTTGAAACCGATCATTAGCAAGCACACATCATATGCCCACTATCAATATAGTTGCAAAGGACATTGAAAGCGGTCACACCGTTAATTGAGTTTGAGGCCGAGAGCTTAACGTCAATCAATCAAGACGACAATTTACTTGGATGGTGGAAACAAAGACGCTTGGAGAAAAAAATTCTCCGGGGAAATCTAGTAATCGAGATTTCGTTCATCACACTTGCTTTTTAAGGTTTCATTTCAACCGCAAGTTTGAGTCGAGAAATCTGCAGTGTTCGGTAGTAATTAAGGTGGTGAACAGCATCCCTCTTCAATAGTGATACGCATAGTAGGGACATGAGTGTCAACTCCTAGAACTATTAATCGAAACGTACGTAAGAAACCTCGTGTTCCTGAGGAGATGCCGATGCTGGGGGCTCAAAATCAACCTTATGCCTAGAGTTATCATCGATCCACTATAGTCTCGTAGAGTCAATAAGAAGGCACGGGAGAAGAGACAAGAAAAGGCAGGCCTACGAGGGAAGGCCGATAAAATAGACGGAAGTTTGCATTTTTTCACCGTCGTATATTCCAACACCAGATTTCAACAGTTTCCGGTTTGGACCAGATTGCCATCTTTTGGCATGGCCCCGATTATAGTTACTGCAGGCCCACCCACGCCCTGAGACGAAGGGACCCACCGATCGGCCCCGCGAGAGATAATCTATAGTTACTATTGGCCCTGACCAAGGCGCTCATGGCCCACAAGAAACCCACCAGCAATTCCCCAAACCAACCGGATGGCAGAGCTCCATGGTTATCACATGTGCGCAGCCCGCCTGAGGGAAAGGATTTTTCTCTACCTCCCGGGAAGAACTTCTCCACAGGATTCTGCAGCCAAGAAGAGGTCGAAGGTCGAACGATGTTTCTTCGTGCAACGGGTTCTCCGCGATCGCTCGCCAAGCGGCTTGATCTTGGACAACCACTGCGCAGCATGTTCGGGGACGGACCCCAACTGGTTTCCAATATAAGCCGACCCTCATCCCCTTCTGTTGGTCGACAGTCCAGACTTCATCCCACGGTTCGCCAAAGCGCAAGCAGACGGTTACCTCGTGTGGTCTAAAATAACGTCTGCCCTTTCTGACGGTCCTAGCTCTCCGAGGAGTTCAACGAAATCCAGAGCCTATTTTAGCTCCCTCCAGATTCCATGAGATGAAGTTATCCCACTTCCCTCGACTTGTTATCGGCGTTCGCTCGTGCACTCCGTCCACTATCTACAATCTGACCGGATCGACCCGGTGAATCTTCCACGCCCCTTCTCTTTTGGAGGGACTTGGCCGATCCTCGCCGATGGGGGGTCCTCTCTAAATTAGGCACAGTTTAGTCCACACTGAACCGAGTACGCCCCGCCGCAGTCAGTCAGCTGCGAAAGAGTCCGTCCAGTCGAGCGAGAGTTCCGTCGCTGAAACAGTCCGTTAACAGGGTAGATACCGTCGGTCCGGATTAAGGAGGGGGCCGCGGGAAGGAATGTTGGGAATAAGTCTCGAAGTGAGTGCGTGCAATGGAGTGTAGGACTACTAGGAGAAAGAGCCGCGGAAATGCCATCGCATGACGGGAAAGAGTGCGGCTCAGCGAGCACTTGGACTGGAGTCGCCGGATTTGTGTGTGGAAGTGGGGACTGCAGGGGAAGGCAAAGGAGTCCTACCCCAAGTGGGGACAGGGCGTGAACAGTGGGACCGCGGTGGGGTAGTCCGGTTAAAGTAATTGGAGCCAACAAGGACGTTAGTGGTGGCGAGAATTAAAATACTGCGAAGAATTCCTTAAGCTCATGGTCCCGGCAGAGGCGGAGGCGAACGTCAGTGGAGGGGAGACGGGTCCAGTGAAGGGCCCGCGTCTCATGGGGAGGGGGGTCGGCCCCGGCACTTTTCAGGACTCTGGGAAGGAGGACATTTGTTGGAATTATATAATTATTCTATTATTATTTGAAAATTCCGGCTATCAATAAATGGGGGTCTTCGTCCTCCTATCTCACGAACTCTCATCAGTCGTGTTCGTGTTTCACCTGTAGAGACACAGAGAGAGAGAGAGAGTGAGAGAGACCGCAGGCGCTGGCTCTGAAGTCTAAGCAAGGGAAAGTAAGCGGAAAGAGGGTGTGAACCCCACACACAAGTACGCGGCAGTAAGGAAGCAAGCAAGCAAGGGAAGGAGAGCATCTTCCTGCCTGCGACTCTCACTCATTGATCGATACACTGATAGTAAGAAAGAGTGGGCTCGCAGCCTCCGAGTTACAAAGAGCTGTTTGGGTTTGAGCGGTGAGAGATTTCTGAGAGAGAGAGAGAGAGAAGTGGTTTTCGTTTCCCTGCATTTCTCATCGTTCCGGTCGGTTGCATCGACGGCTGCATCGCGGATTTGGGCCTTGAGAGAGTGGGCGCGGAAGTGAAATCGGGGTGTCACCCAGACTGGCGTCTGGCGAAGGAGTAGACAAGCGTCGCCAATTCAACATCTTCTGCAGCACTCGGGGAGTGGTGTTTGCTTCTTCGAGCGAGTGTTCGCAGTTCTGCACTCTCGCAGTTCTCGTTCTACGCAGCGGCGCGCATTTGGCGTCGCTCGGAGCAGTTTGGATGTCCATAGCTTCAAGGTTTCTGCCGTGTTTCTGCTGTGTTAGCCGTGTTATCGGTTGTAGTAGAAGTAGATTGCCCGAGGCTGGTGTATTCTATTGTGCGGAGATCGAGACAGGCCCCATAGTCTGTCCGTCCGCCGGGTCGGGGCTGTGGCTTTAGTTTCGGCATCTGAAGATTTTGCTCCTGGAGTCGTTGGAGACTGAGTGACCATCAAGCGTCCAAGCGTGGGAGGTGGTGCGGGTGACCTAGTTACTGAAGCCGAGTGGCACTCGGAAGAAGGGCCCTGCCTGACTCTCCTCGGTGGGAGCAGCTGCTCGTGGTTCTCTCAGTCGGTCAGCTGGCTAATCAAAGAGCCAGCGTTTCGTTGCTTTTGAATTACCACAAAATTCGCAGGTGATGTCATTTCTTTACACGATCAGACACTATCGCTGTGGGAAGAATTTTTTCCACGAGTGGATGTTCCTCTCCGAGAGGAAAAGTGTCGAGGACGAATAACATAGAAGTCGGCTTCGCAGCGGCTGGAATCTGTGTATATCGTCTTTGATTGTGGAGGGCGCGCATTCAGCGTCGTCTCACTCCGCAGTTGTTTCCTGCCCTCGGAGCAGCGTTAACTATTTTCCCAGAGCTTGTTTGAGCTGTGGATTGTAAATTCCTCAAAATGCCTGGAAGCAACGTATCACGTGGACTGCTGAAGACCGTCAAGAGCTTCGGCAAGCGGTCTTCTTCATACGAATACCTTGCTGACGAAGATGACTCTCCCTCGAAGATGAGGAGCGGGAGCAGGTCAAGACTGCCCGATGACATCCCTCAAGGGTACCTAGCTGTGTACGTCGGCAACGAGAGAAAGAGGTTCGTCATCAGCACCCAGTACCTCAGCCACCACCTTTTCAAGGCCCTTCTGAAGAAGTCCGAGGAGGAGTTTGGTTTCGAGCACCAAGGGGGCCTGCCAATCGCGTGTGAGCCAGACTTGTTCGAGCACTTGCTTTGGCTCATTGGCACCAACAGCCCCGCCGCCGAGACCTCACAATTGGATGATCTGGTGGACTTATACGCCTCATTTTGACAACGGAGAGGGAGGGAAGTATAGTTTGGATCCATGGAGTAAGCAAGGGCCTATCACCGCTGGCTAATCCTCATCTCTCGAATTTTGCAAGTACGGGTGCCGGCCGTGATTCTTCCTGCACACTCCTGTACATAGATCATCACGGTAAATATACACAGAAGCGGGCCGGGATGAATGCCCATTGTGTGCCTACTCTGGTTTTTTTGGCTTTCCTTTCGGAGGAATTGATATGAAGTTAGATTAGATATGTATGTTTTACGATCCTCCAACCGGGGTGGTCATCCTCGACGCTGATCATCTGACTGAGTAGTGATGGGTCGTAGAATAGTCAAACACACAAAATGCTTCATTCAACGTAAGTTGTAAAGCCTGCAACCTACATGTTCGCCCTTTCAATAAATTCAAGCTACAATATGTTGGGCTCTTCAAGTTACCTATTCTTGTCATCTCGCCATGCGTGGCAGCGAATTTTCCTTGTGTGGGGCGATGAGGCACTTGCTTATGAAATGGGATTCTTCACTCCGGAGGAAATGTGGAGCCTGGTGATCCCGCATCCAGGCCCCTGGATACCATGAAAAGACGCAGTTTCACTACTCGCCCAGAGGCCTTCCACCAAAGTGGCCATCTGGACGTGCCTTGAGGGCCCGGAGGAGTCTTATAATAGAAGTCTCAGTGGCAGTCGCAGAACGGGAGAAGTCAGCTTGCAAGCACACATTTCCGAATTTCATCAGCGGTTTCGCGAAAGGAAGTCGGGTCTCCCCGTCCCCCTTGGACAGAAATACTGATCGAAAGTTTTGCGGCCCCAGGCCGATCAAACATCCCATCACGTCATGGAGAAGGACCGTCTCGCGGACTTCAAGCCTCGACGAGTGTAGTTCAAAGTTTCAAATCCCAGCATACCGTTTTAGCGAGCGTTAGGTTCCTGAAATGCCACTTGACTCTTGACTGGGAACCGAGGAAGCTTGCGGCTGCGGTGCGCTGCTCGCTTGCTTGCCCGTGGCGCGCCACGTCAGCCAGACCGAATCCGCTCCCGGATAGTGAGAATAGAAGAGAAGGGGAAGGGGAGCCGAAGGAAGAGCTGACACCTCTCTCGATCACGCTGTGCCAGAATGCGGATGGTGCTCGAAATCCTCCGGAGAGGGCACCACCACTGCGGCCATCGAGTTTGAAGGCGACGGTCCGCTATACAAAGGAGATACGCGATAGATCTCCGACGCATGGTTTGGAAATCTGAAAGCTTGCAGGCGCTGCGCTGCGCTGCGCCGCGCTGCTCGCCAGTCCGGTCGTCAGACAGGCGGCAATCAAGGGTGGGGGGCGCCGAGGCCAGTCCCATCCATCCAACCAACCGAACTGAACTCGATGTCTCACCTCAGAAATGGAATTCAAAGCGACCACGAGGAGACTAAAGAAAGACCGGCCTCCCAACTCCTTGCGCCGCGATCGCGCGTCGGGGTGGCCCTGGGCGCGCCCGGATGGCCCACGGAGCATTTGACTCCTCACTCTGCGGAAGCGCAAGTTCGCCTGCTGCGATGGCACACTGCCTCTGACTCGACACTGTTTCGAAAGCCTGGCTCCTTGGCGCCGTCTACCGTTCCTCTGGCCCACCTGGATAACTTTCTGTAGTTACTACCGTCTTCGGCCTCTGGACCGACCGTTCGTCCTTACGTTATTCCGCTGCAAATGCCCTCGGTAGTTACTACCGTTTCGCCAATACGGCGTTAATAATGTCTGGACCGTTCCGCTGAATTTTCAGACTCGCAACTCCGGCAGCCCGCGCGGTCATCTCCACCTGTGCGCTACGTGGTTTTGCCAGAACTCCGTTCGTAGCTTGATAAGCCTAATCATGTGACGAACACCTGGCAAGAAGCTATGTGATTCCACTCAATCTGACTCATCACAGTCTTGGCCATGTTTCGGCACGAGAGCACGGGTCCACGTACCCTTTGTGAGGTCTGCATATGGTATGAGAGGAAGAGCTACTAATATAGCAGCAAGGATGGCAATGGCCCATTGAGTAGTAAATATCGAAATCGAATGTCAAGTCCGGAACCAAAACGAAATTAGAGATGAAATGTGAAAATACCACTTTAACATTAACACTAGAAATGTATTCCATATAAAAATAATATAAAAAATCTTCCTACATGCCTCAGATGAACGCGGTATATCACTTTTCTCTAAGATTTTGAATCTCATGAGGTCACATTTTTGTTGAACTCATGTTATGACTTAAATAATCACATGTTACGATATAAAAATAATTCCTCCCCTAATGCCTTTGGTGATCTTGGTATAAGTCACATATGTAAGAGTTATACTCGTAGTTTAAGGTTCATCTTCTCATACCATATTCCAAGTCCTTTTCCAACTCAGAGGTTAACATTGGAAGTATAAAAAAAAATTTTGCTTTATTTTCTATTATTCTTCTTTCGTAACATTTTTTTTTTCAAATCTCATGCTATTATATATGTAATAAATATATCAGACCTATCTATAAGATTTTAGTGAGATAAGATTATCATTTTCTATGCTAAAATTTTGGAATCCCAAAATGTGATAATCTTATATAATAATAAAATCATCCATGCTCTATTGCAATGAAGACAAACTAACAAAATATTTGATCCGTGTAAAGAACATATATTTTTCTGTTCCACGAAATTGGATATTTTTTTGAAATCTGCACATTTCATAAGCAAAGAATGAGTCTGGTCATAAAAAGGTTGGGTTTTTGGAATTTTAAATGAATTTTATAACACGATCAAAGGTTTCTCATTTTATTAAGGTTGGGTGTGAACAAATTTAGATTATTCTCATATCATTATTTACTATAGACTTGACACTCCTTATCATACATCTAGTATACAATGGGTTTAGATGCATATTAAAAATTGCAGCTATCCCTTTAAATTCTCAATTTCCTGGTAAAATCTTGATGCTATAGTTTGAAATATATTATACTCATGCAAAATTTATGTAAAGAATGCAGTTTGGAAGCCATGTCTTGAGATTAAAGGTTGCAACAAAATATATTTCATGTTTTGGATTTTTTTTGTTTTCTGTCTTGGGCTAGATGTTCTAGCTACAATTCATCAACACCCAAAGTGAATTCTAGATCAAATGAAATCTGCGGCTTGTGCCTTCACAATAGGGGGTCTCAATGCTAGTCTAAGCCACATGTTCGTAGAATGTTCCTGATTAAGGTTGGGGAAGGTAAATTGTGAAATTTGTAAAGAGGTAATCGATAACACAGAGGGAGCTGGAAGGTGCCTTGAAGACTCCTCGATACAGGAAACATGCATGCAAGATCTAAAATTATCAAGATGTTCGGTGAGAGTTGGGGCGACCTAGGTGCAACTAGAGGGGGTTGGTTGACTGCACTGCGCCACCCTCTTGAGTGGATCGTAGTCCAGAAAATTGACGGGGGCGTGAGCGGACTGTAGTGAGATTTCGGTTCGATTCGATCTTTTCTATTCGATTGAGTATCTAGGTATTTAGAGATGATTTCTTAATTTGACAACTGATGTGTTTCAAATCGTTATTTTACAAGCGGATAAATACAAATGACAAGAGTAAAATAAACAGTTCCATGTTTGTTGAAGTTGTTACAAGTGGAACTTAACACCTAGTATAAAGATGACGTTAAATATCATTGTTTCGTACCCTTGAGTCGTAAGAGGATGGTACTACTGTAATCTCATTTGAATTTCATCGAGAAAAAATTTCCACAAACCAACTTTGTCACAAAGAACCCTAACCACCCAAGCCCAAGCCCACCCATGCACATGGGTTTTGGGTGACATTATTTTTCCATGGGTGGGCACAAGTAATGCTATGGGTGGGGTTAGATCGCTGGTAATGGTTATAGTCTGGTTTGAGTGCAGACATGTTGGACTCTGCTAACCACCATCTTTGTTTCTATACTATACAACTCTGATGATTTTCATCATGACCTCTTTTAGTATTATCTCATTTTTTTTAATCTACGTTTGTATTGAAGAGAGGCCGGGGTCCAAGAGGGCACAGAAAAAGGACGGGAAGTATGTGATGATTTGATTCAATCAAAAGTATAATTCCAGTCTTCCACTTTGCGTAAATGACAAAACAGAGCTTTCAAGAAGCTTTTGGCTATAAGTGCTGATGATGGGACATTCGCAGAGCGTTTGACCAGTACCTGTGTCGATTTAAAAAATACTGGGATATGAAGCCCGTGCATCCCACTTGCTAATTTGTTATATTGGGGTCTAGCCCAATTTTGCCTTTTGGTTTCTATTCCTTTTGGGTCTCACGCCCCGTTTTGCTATATAACTTGTTCCTTCTTTGTGGGATGCCATCTTCTGAGAAGCAGCTGTTTCTATATGAACCGTTGGAGCTACATGACGAAAAAATGCACACTACACAGGTCTTCATGATCCCACCTGTTCGCAGCACAAAGCAGTTGATGATGATGACTCTCCAAGGGTGGGTTCGTACCAGTCCACCTAGTCCCTCCAGATTAGTGACGAGTTGTACCTACTCTCGTTGAAGCCGTCTGCGTCAGTCGGAATGCTATAATTAAAAGTCCCAAACACCGGTCGATGTCATCGGGCGTAAGTATGATGTATGTGATATGTGATTATCACCCACTAATCTACTCCCTGCTACAGGCAACGTGTTTGTGGTGATATCCTGGTGCTACAAATGGTGGCTCAGTTACTAACTACAACACGAATTGATTGAATGATGTGAATTCGTCATTAGTCTTTTGTGACTCGGATGCTTTGCAATCGCCACTTGGCCCGAATTGTATACAACTGTTTAGTGTTTAGTCACACTTAGCGGTGCTCTCCTCCACCGTACCTTCTGTGAATTACTCAAACGCCAGACCACGAGGGTTGCCATAATTTCTATGCAGAGTTAGGCTTGAGGTCAAATGCTGTCCGACCTCCCAGGCATGACTTTTTGAAACAAATGAACACGTGAATGTGGCTTAAAACGACTTTTTCGATCGCGCGTGAAAGGAACGAGCAAAGAACGTTTCCCAAATTGTTACCTCTCTGACCAAAATAGAAAAGTTCTTGAATTGAATACTTAGAACGAAAATTGGAGATCTTTCAGGAGCTGGAAAAGGTATCGGGTGTCCCTTTTTCTAGATTCTATTTTCTTCACGAGTATCCATTCATGTACCCCATTTACTGTTGGTCAATATTATTTCTTGGGTTTTAAATGAGGAGAGCTTAGGCGGTACCTACACATGGGTCCCTTTTGGCTTTGTCTCAAAACAAACTTGATAATACAGCCACCTCGTTTTAGGTGTGTTCACCATGTTTCAAGCTTGTCCAAATCATGAGCTCTTTGCTTGATTCTAGATTCAATTTTCTTCGAAAGTATCTATTCAGTGCGGGGCTACGTACCTTATTCATCTCTGGTCCATATTGATCTTAAATTTCATCTAACGAGAGTCTACGTGGTACCTACACTTGGCTTCCTTTCAGGTTTTTTCTTGTAACAACCTTGATCAAACGGTCATCTCATTTCAGGTGTGCTTGACCATGTTGTAAGCTTGTCAAACTCGTAAAACTCTCCTCTAAACAAGCAGACAAAGACACACACACTTCTATATTTATCTTCTATTTCACTCCATCATAGAAATGCATGTGTGTACGTGTAAGAAATCAGTTCAGTAGATTTTGTCCGGAGGAATTCCGCTCGTGCAAGTTTAAAGTTAGAAGCAACAACAGATGTTGGAGCCATATCGTGCACATGCTGGGTAAATCTAACCTTCGAATGTGATCCGTCAAGGAGCTTCGATTACAATCTATCCATTATTTTAATGTTGAGTAAGTTTACATCTCTCTTGAGAAAGATGTTATGACTACTGTTTAGCGATCGTAGAGCCTTTTAATTCTTGAGAATACCTGGCTCATGTGATTCTGGTATGTCACAGGACGATTTGTTCCAAACAGGCCAAGGTCGAAGTCCTGCATTACGCTCTCGTTGGCAAAGCAAAGCTTTGAAGTTGTTGAAAGCATGCCACTTTCGTAGATACTCAAACAATACTCCGACACAAGTTACATAAATGAAGGTGGGCTACTTACCCATGTTGACTTTCTCCTTCTCATGCATCTCCACATCATGGTTTTGATCTTTTTGAGAATTATGTCGTCGACATAAGAGAGATGGGCAAATGAGTACCGTCGTAGACCTATGGCCGGTGATGTGGATGATGCAGAAAGTCAAAGAACATGCCTTTCTGCTTGGTGACACTCTATTGTGATCCCGACTGAATCAAATAAGGACAATTGTGAATTCTGTATACGTGCTCTGTACTGTACAGTGAAGGTGTGGCCTGAGGCAGGCGAAACCATTTCGACGTCTTGTTTGTAAGCGTTTGAACTTTCTGACCGATCTAATGTGGACATAACTACGGGGAGCATGTTGCTCACATATGCAAAGTAGAGGTTGCAAGTACATCCGTGAAAGCGAACGGGAAGAGAATTTCATATCTC